ATTCGGCAAGAAAACTGTTATCTACACCTGATGTATTCGCATTTTTTCAAATTGAATCTGAAGAAACAGATAAAATAAAAGCTGAATCTTGTTTTAAATCTAAAACTGGACAATATTTTGTTAAACCCGGTATTCAAACCAGTTTATCATATTTAATCAAATTATTAAACCAGAAGCTAAAAGAAGAATTAACACTAAATGAAAATAATGAAACTCGAGATACATTTATATCTAACGAGTTTATTGACAAGCATCCGCTTTTAAAATCTTTAATTAGATGGTATCAACAAAATGACTCGGAAAACAACAACAAAGCAAATAGGTTTTTAATGATGTTCATCGATAATGTGGTATTCAATCTTACACAATCTTCAAATAATTTTAGATACACTGAATCAATTAAAAAATTTGCCATATGCTTATATATTTTCGGTGGTAAACAATGTTATGAGTTCGTTCGTTTAAATATGCCTGGTAGTATACCGTATTTGTCAACACTTGGTGATTTAATTAACAAATCGAATATGACTTTAACTGAAACAGAATTTAAATTTGACTCACTTCAAAAGTTTCAATCAGGTTTTGGATTTTGTTCTGAAGATACTACTGGTGTCATTCCTAAAATTGAATACGATTCGTCGACAAACTCATTCATTGGATTTACAACACGAATTGTTGATGGTATTCCATTGATGAAACATTATCAAGCTGATACATTTGATGATTTTTAAAATCATTTATAGTACCAATGAAACAGCACCATTATTGAATGTGCATATGTTCCAAAGTATATCAACAGAAGATGATCCAACAAATTTTCCGAAACCAGTTTTACTCTCTGCTTATGGTGTTGACAACAAATTTACAGCTATGGATATTTTACGACGATGGATGTATATTTTTGAACGTTGTTTAGATAAAGATGTTTGCATTATCGGATTTTCTACAGGTAAATTTTATTTATACAATGTTCCTCTCAAATGTATCTTAATTGTAAATAGATGCAGATAACAAATACATAAGTGCCATGCGTCTTGCCAGTGATTTCTTCGCGTCGTTACCCAATTTCAAATTAGACAAGCATCAACATGCATTTAAAATAGATATACCGAATGACTGGACTTGGTTTTTTCTTAGTAGAAATCAACTCTTCTTGTTTTTTCAAGATCCAGTACATATCGTTACCAAATGGCGTAATCGATTGTTATCATCAACAGCGGATTTATATATTGGGAACGATAAAATTAGTATGACACATATAGAACAACTAATCGATAACAATAGTTATACAAAATTAGATCATGGTTTGACGAAAAGTGATATTAATCCTAAAGATCGCCAAAATTATAATTCATGTATTAAGTTAATATCAGACGATGTAATAAATCTTCTTAATGATAGTATAGATAGCAATGGGACAGTTGTTCATTTAACATTGTTAAAAATGATAGTAAAAGCATACATTGATAAATCGACAAGTATTCATGAACGTAAGTCCATTTTTAACATTAGAAACGAAAAGAGTCAAACTGATTAATTGTTAACACTTTCTATGTATTTAGGTATTCAATCAGCATGGTGTGCAGTATTTGTGTGTCGCCTTTGGTGGTCTTGCTTAGAAAAAACATCAACTTTGAAATCATCGAAAACCAGCCAAACAACAAGCAACAGAAAAAATAAAATTAACAAATACTTTATTACTAGACCTGCATATATGTCTGTTGAGTTGAACGCACACAACTTACTATATTTAGTACTATTAGTGGAACAGCAACATTTACCAAAGCAAGCATTAATCAATATACATTTATTCAATTCACAACCATGCGAGTCATTATTTAGAGATGCAAGATCATTAAGCAGTACATCCTCAACGGTCGTCAATTTTGCTGTAAAAGATTTTATGCGACGTTCACAAAAACTATCAATATTAAATCAATTTAAACATAATCATTTGGAAAAAGATCTATCATTTCCCATACATCACAAACACAAACGCGAACATCCATTACAATCATCACATCAATTAGATAATATTGATACTTTAGATATTCAAAAATTAATATCAAATGCATATGATCAAGCATTACGCCTTGTTAAACATTCAAAAATACTAGATAAATTAAAAGAGCATAAAATAAATTGTTTAAATGATTTAAGTAGTTATATCTTCGACATGTTAAATAAAAATTCAAGAATGATTAATTATTCTTTCCGAACAGAAAATAACACCACTGACGAGTTTGGATTGGATGAAGAAAACGAAGATAATGACGTCATCAATTATGCACCAGACCAACTTATTGATGAAATTCTATTTGATACTCAAAGCGACGGTGTTAGTGATGATGATGAAAATATATTAAATTCAACAAAATCAGATTTTAATGGAATAAGAATAGTTGATAATATTAATCCTGCTATAAGAAAATCGTATTTCAAAGTCAAAATAAATGACAATATTAAGTATCTTCACAAACAATCGGCCTGCTGGCTGTAATCGAGTCAGATAACGAAATTATCAAGTGATCGTTTATCTCGTGTCATGCAACAAACACCTGGCCATGATTAGTAAACTTATTCATTTCATTTTTTTTCTGTTTTACTAGTATTTACTGTTGTAAAAAGTGAATAAACTAATCATTCATAGTTTTTCAACACTATTTAATTTTGTTCTATGCATATCTAGATCATTAAGAATACTTTAAAGTACTTTAGCATAATTTCAAGTACTCTGACGTAATTTGAAGCTACTTAAACGTAATTAAAAAGTACTTTGAGCTACTTTAAGCTACTTTGAGCTACTTTAAGCTACTTCGAACTACTTTAAGCTATTTCGAGCGACTTTGAAGTACTTTTTGTACTTTACTGTACTTTTCTACTTCAAGTCCGCCCTTTCCCCCTAGACGTGAAAACCAAATGAAAGTTGAGAAGAAGAGTGATGAAATCTAAGATGTCGTTCGATTTTTTTCCTCTTCCGTTCTTTTTTCCAACAATCATATTATCTCTTAAAACTCAATGAAGTGTGTAGATGGGTGCTAACATGTTTTCTTCACCCACACCCACACTCAAATCGAGGAATATTCGAGTATGTGTTTATGCGAATATGTTCTACAAGAAGAAACGACAAAGAAAAACTTAATGCAAGGTGTAATACACAAGTGTAACTGACTTATACAGATATAAAGGAGACGAAACAAAAAGAGAATGAGATGGTTTTTTCTGCATAGTGAATAATTACACTTTCTACGCTTGCAAATATGTTTGTCGTCTCTCTCACTGTGTTTGATAGATTGCACAAGCAACCAAAAACAAAAAAAAAGAGAAGCGATACAAATTAATCAAAAGTGTTATGCAATGCTGTTGTAAAGAACGAAAAATCAATAAAAACCAAGAATCATGGGCATAAGTTATCATCGGCCGGATTAGTCCAAAAACATGTTTAAGTAAACCTTGACGAATTCTACCGAATGACGAAACCTCTTAGAAGTAGATCAGCCTTTTCAAAAGAACGCATGTTAGACCTCGAATTTTCTGGTTCTTAATGCAAGAGTGGAGATTGACATATTAACAGGTAAAAGTTTACTTCCTTCTGTAGTAACATTTTGAACACTACTCAGCGATTTTGCCGCTATCGTATTTTTTCTCTTGAGCGACGTCTTCAGAGCAATCAAAACCAGTTGCTCACTATGCAACAAAGTATGATAAACTATTTCGTTGGATTTTTTCTCAAACCTTGCGGATCCAAGCAATAGTTTGGAAGTGTCTGAGTATTGTTCAATGCGTGCAAAATTGTTCTCAAAGAATTTTGCATGAATTAACAAATTCCTTTAAAAGAGTTCTATTTGGAGGTAAAAATGCGTGAGTGATCTAGAGATCTTTTCGGAAAGCTCCACTTGTGAAGATGGCTGACAAGAGGTTGACAGTAATTATAGGGAAACTCGCAAACGTTGTGCAACAGATATGAGTGAAATTCTGTAGTTAGTCGAGGCAATACCATACTCAAATTTGAAACTTCAACATAAAAATAAAAACACGCTACATTTCATCAATTGATGATGCTATTTCGAAAACATCTTATATTCATGATCAGTAATCTCACAAAACCTAACAGTTTATCAAATGCTCATCTTCGTAAGTAGTAAAGTTGAGTCACAATATTGATATGGTTCAAGTCAAAGGTATCATAGAAAGGATGAATTCAGAGTAAAAAAGAAGAGATTGATACATTTATAAGAATATCAAGAATTTTGGTCATAAATTAGCACCATCATGATGTTAGACAAAAATGTCGTCATGAACATGTTTTAATAAGAAATGCTTTATAAGTATGATAATTATTAACGTCGATCACGATTGACTAGAAAATCAACCATGAAGCACAAAAACTCCAGAATTCGAGCTAAGATGATTCCAAGAAAAAGTCTTAATGTAAACAGCCGATCGAGCCATATATTGACTTCATATTCACCAGCATAAAGCTAAAATTTAGATCGAAATATATTATTACTGAATACCTGTCATTGACATAGTAAAACTGCCTGTGCTAAGTAAACTTACCCAGAGATTAATCGTGTTTCTCTTGATACGGCTTGTGAATGAACGATTCGCCCATAGTCGTCGACTTCCACAAATGAGCCAATAACGTGATAATGTTTTGTTTTGTATCGCGTCAGAAAATATACCATGATTGAATCGACAACGGAAAGTTGCGAATGATAAATATTTCAGTGCATCGAGTAAATAAAACAAATCTTGCGAAGAATTCAATGGTATATTTATTTTTTCTAATCGAGGAAAAGCATAAGATAGATATTGAGCATCAACGGCATCTGGAAGATTTCTTTTTTGATTCATATCATAAATTACTAAGGTTCGAATCTGTTGAAAGACGATCTTTGTTGGAAAATAGATCAATAGTGATTCTTCTAATGCAAGTGAATTTAACTGTGGTAACTGGTAAAAGACATCGGTCAAAGATAATAATATTTCCGTACTAAAACTATTTCCTTTCACAAGCTCGAGTGATGTAATGTTGGGCAAAACAAAACGATCAAGTGCAATATCCAATGACCATGTCAGACAATTTATGTATTGTTCAAGACAAATATTGGAAGATGTACATACCCTAGAACGAGTATTGAAAGGCCAATTCATGTTTTTCGGTGCGAAACGAGGTACTGTAAAAACACTCGTCGTCATCCCATTGTTATCATGAACGACAAACCAATGTTTATGGTCAAGCCAGAATGGTGTTCTATAGGTCAAGAAAAGTGAGCTCCACATGTAAACTCCAAATTTGGAGCTCACTTCCCATCCACGTTTTACCATAAAATACAGTCCATGTTTTTCGGTTTAAAGCAGTACGGCCCTATTTGACTGAGATACTAGGTTGACTTGTATCTGATGATTAACAGATGCATTGCCTGTGATGCTAGAGGCAATACCTGGGATGCTAGAGGCAATACCTGGGATGCTAGAGGCATCGCCTGGTATGCTAGTAGCATCACCTGGGATGCTAGGGGCATCGCCTGGGATGCCAGTAGCATCACCTGGGCTGCTAGAGCCTTCACCTGAGATGCTAGTAGCCTCACCTGGGATGCTA